GAACTGTCAGTGTATGACTGGTTTTTTTGGACCAACATGCAATATAGGTAAGCTTTTACAGTTACGGCTTAAATGTGGATTACGCATGCAGCTAAATATAATAGTTATCCTAGAGTGCAGAACATTGTTAACATTTTATACAACATGAATACCATGTAAAAAGATTAGACATTATGCATTTTATTTAATTAGGTTAGACAGCAACATAATTATGTATGTTTTAGTGTATTTTATTGGTTAGCTTTTAATAGCTTAATAGGAAGATTACTAAACATTTGCAATTAGTTAATAGCAAAAACACTCAGCAAACGTTAAGAGAGATGTGAACATCAGTCATGAGTTTAAGTTTGCAAATGTGATATTACATATTTTGTCCTCATGTTATTAATGATATTAAGACAAAGAAAATAGGATAGAGACAACATTAAAAAATAGACTATTATTTAATAATTTTAACTTTAAGCAGATATTCTAGTATTATTTAATGGCACAGTTTATTTAATTCTTTAATTAATTTTAACATATTAACATTATTGTATTCAAAGAAAAACGTATTAACTTATTAACTAAAAGCATGTTGTAAATCTTTCAGGTATTAGAAAGTCGTCTTTAGTTTGAATGAGAATCTGTCAAAATGCAGTAAATCAGTTTTGAAGAAGCTAATAATGTAATATTATAATATTTAAAACTACAAATATAAGATGTTTTGGTAGTTACTATAATTAACATGTGAATATATGCAGTTGATACCTCTTCAACTTCATGCTAGTTGATTTAGAAACTAGATGATTATTTTGTATTATCCAAAATGTTAATACCAAATTCTGCTGATCTTTGGTAGAAATAGAGTTCCCGGAACTCATTATGAAATATTGCTGGTAGAGGAAAGTATAGAAGAATTTTTGTTGTATTGTGTATTTCTTTAGATCAAGCCCAATGTGATTTCGAAGATCCAAACTTTTGTTACTTTGTACAAGATGAATCAGATGACTTTGATTGGATAAAAACATCTGGATCAACACCCACATCTGGTACTGGTCCTGAGTATGACCACACTTACGGAACATTACAAGGTATTAAAAAGCTGACATGAATTTATATTTTCTAAATTAAATTGTACATTTCTAATGAAAATATTTAAAACTACAAACAAAATATATAAAATAAACATCAAATAGATCTATAAAAATCTCTATTACACCGGAACATTTATTTTCTCATTTGCTTACAGGTTCCTACATGTACATCGAAACTTCATATCCGCGATACAACGATGAAACCGCTCGTCTTTGGACATTGCCATATCCTGCAACAAACGGCACATGCGTCAAGTGGTTCTACCATATGTACGGGGTCACAGTGAACACATTGAATGTATACATAGTCGATACAACAGGTACTGTTGGTGTACCTGCGTGGACAAATACAAACAACCAAGAAAACCTTTGGCGACTTGGAAAAATCTCAGTTGAAACAATGAGTGCCTTCCAGATAGTGTTTGAAGGAATTGTAGGAAGGAGTGATACAGGTGATATTGCTTTAGATGACGTCACGATCATTGATGGAGCATGTTTGAAAAACGGTAAAATACACCTTTTACCACCTATGACATATTAGAAAGCCTTCCTAGAAAAATATATTATCAAGGTTCGATCCTGGCCTGGCAAAGATGATTAACATCTTTTCAGCGTATTGTTCACACTCTTTGATAGCTTCCAAGTTAAATGGTGAGTGAATTTGTTCGCACTATTCGGGTTGTCAAATGTATAGTCGGGTTTATTGTATTGATTTTGGAACGTTTTGTCCGGGACCTGCATGCATATAAAATCGGCTTGCCTTTGACCAATGATGTTCTGACCTTCATATTTCTTTTTATTTTAGATACACTTCCGTTTTCAAAGCGGCGCTTTCTATTTACTACTAAACTCTACTTTTCTGTAATACAATTATTTAAAAACGTCGTTTCAAGTTCATTGCAAAATTCAAAATCATCTGGATAGGTTGCATTACATTCCCGTAAAGGTGTGTATGAACGGACGTATTTCGGCAATAATGACATTTCGATCTGTTAGCTGGCCTTAGACTCGAATAAATTCTTTGTTCTTATGCAAATGTTTATTTTCTTTTACAGCGACCAAACATAGCTTAACCATAAACTCGTAACCGTAGAGCACAGGCTTAGGGAGGCTAATAAATTCAGTTGCAAAATCAAACTTTTTTTTTTTTAAATACATCTCACAGACATTGAGGTAAATCAAAATGCTGTCTCTTATACACATTTCTGAAGAAAAGGAAAATGTGTTCGTGCAAGTAGTATAATTTGTTTTTTGTTTTTGTTTTTGATGAGTGATATTACTCTACATATACAAACAAAGTATTTAATTAATCTATGTTTAATTTATAATTAAAGAAACTTGCGATATTAACTGCATGAACGGTGGAGTTTGTGTCATTTTGGATTATGGTATCGAGAACTGTCAGTGTATGACTGGTTTTTTTGGACCAACATGCAATATAGGTAAGCTTTTACAGTTAAGGCTTAAATGTGATTTACGCAGGCAGCTAAATATAATAGTTATCCTAGAGTGCAGAACATTGTTAACATTTTATACAACATGAATACCATGTAAAAAGATTAGACATTATGCATTTTATTTAATTCAGTTAGACAGCAACATAATTATGTATGTTTTAGTGTATTTTATTGGTTAGCTTTTAATATTTATTGGCTGTCTTTACGTTTAGTGTTGGAGTGCACCAACAGTAATCATGACAAAAATTCTGTTAAAACGCATAGGTTTACCACCTGTTAAATATCCTCTATCGTGCCATATAAATAAAGCAGGACTAAAGGTGCATTAACATGATTCACACCAAATCCGAATTTTTGGATCGGGACATCTGCTCAAGCGATCAATAAACGAATCAGTGTGTAAGAAACAGGGACGCTGCAGCTCAGCCCTTCGAAAACGCGGCCCGAATTTCTGTTCGGATCCGATGTGAATGCAGCTTAAAAGGAAGATTACTAAACATTTACAATTAGTTAACAGCAAAAACACTCAGCAAACGATAAGATAGATATGAACATCAGTCATGAGTTTAAGTTTGCAAATGTGATATTACATTTTGTCCTCATGTTACTAATGATATTAAGACAAAGAAAATAAGATAGAGACAACATTAAAAAAGTAGACTATTATTTAATAATTTTAACTTTAAGCAAATATTCTAGTATTATTTAATGGCACAGCTTATTTAATTCTTTAATTAATTTTAACATATTAACATTATTGTATTCAAAGAAAAACGTATTAACTAAAAGCATGTTGTAAATCTTTCAGGTATTAGAAAGTCGTCTTTAGTTTGAATGAGAATCTGTCAAATGCAGTAAATCAGTTTTTAAGAAGCTAATAATGTAATATTATAATATTTAAAACTACAAATATAAGATGTTTTGGTAGTTACTATTAACATGTTAATATATGCAGTTGATACCTGTTCAACTTCATGCTAGTTGATTTAGAAACTAGATGATTATTTTGTATTATCCAAAATGTTCATACCAAATTCACCTGATCTTTGGTAGAAATAGGGTTCCCGGAACTCATTATCAAATATTGCTGGTAGAGGAAAGTATAGAAGAATTTTTATTGTATTGTGCATTTCTTTAGATCAAGCCCAATGTGATTTCGAAGATCCAAACCTTTGTTACTTTGTACAAGAGGAATTGGATGACTTTGATTGGATAAGAACATCTGGATCAACACCCTCATTTCGTACTGGCCCTGAGTATGACCACACATATGGAACATTACAAGGTAATACAAAGTTGACATTTTTCATTCATAAAATCTAAAATGAAATTGTAAAATTATCAATGAAAATATTGCAGAAACTGCATAGTAAATAAAACCAGATAACACAATTATAAATAGATGTAAAAGAAAATTCTCTGAAATCGAAACATTTATTTCATTTGCTCACAGGTTTCTACATATACATTGAAACTTCAAGTCCGAGAAACCTCAACGACATCGCTCGCCTTTGGACAATGTCATATCCTCCAACAAACGGCACATGCGTCCAGTGGTTCTACCACATGTACGGGGCCACTGTGAACACATTGAGTGTGTACATAGTCAATACAGCAGATACTCTTGGTACACCTGTGTGGTCAATAAAAAACGAGCAGGGAAATGTTTGGCGACGTGGAAAAATTTTTGTGGAAACAAGTAGTGCCTACCAGATAGTGTTTGAAGGAATTGCAGGAAGTAGTTATACAGGAGATATTGCTTTAGATGACGTCAGGATCACCGATGGAGCATGTGTGCGAAATGGTATTATACAAGTTCAGCTTCTTACACTTCACAGCCATAAACAATGTTATAATCCCTGTTGTCACCTTATATAGTTACCAAACGTTACCATCCTAGGTCCGATGCAACCTGTCATATTTCCATCTAGACCTTTCCATAGATCTATTACCACTTAGATAGCTGCATCCGACCTGTAACCTTATCATTATATATTTTTGCAATAATTGTTCTCCACATACAATCAAATTGACGATTGAATCAATTGATTTTGAAGAAATGAATTGTGGTTTAAAATAACACACAACATGAATAGGCATAGTTGTTATTATTTAACATTTATCTTTTAGGTGGGTTATCGTTATTTTGTTAAGTATACTCTCTATTATGCCGGTGTTAATATACTTACAAGTTTTGAGCAGAAATCGGCTTTACAGGATCTAAACCCCAGACAATCTCTCGCATACTACTGACTGAAATGCTCAGACATTATAGAAGCAAAAGTTAGCCTACATACATATAATTAATAATAATGCACATTTTGTCAAAACAATACTACTTTTACCAACTACCGGTGACCACCCTCTATTATGCCGGTGATAATATAAATACGAGGAATGGTAATTGAAGGATCTTGAGCTCTACTCTTGATGAGGACAAAAATGTAATTAAAAAAATTGTTTTTATACAATTAGTATTATTTGTGATGAGAGATGATATTCTATTAATACGAACATTGTATTTAAATAGTTTATGTTTAATTTCTATTTGAAGAAACGTGTGATATTAGCTGCTTGAACGGCGGAGTATGTTTCATCTCAGATTATGGATTCGAAAACTGTCAATGTACGCTTGGTTTTGTTGGACCAACATGCAATATAAGTAAGTTTTTACAGTCATAAAAGGTGAATTAATTTAATTCTTCCATGGGAGTAGGTATTGAGCAGTTTCATCTAAAAAGATTTGTATAAAGAATAATTTATGTAGCCTATATCCACTGGCATGCCATGTTAAATTAAATATGCAGGACAAATGGGGAAAAAATCAATAATTTAAAAATCGATTTACAGTAAACATGTAGAAAACATTTAATTAATACAGCAAGCATGCCATTTTTTTACATGCTTTCAGGGTGAAAATTAAAATGAAAATTCCGGTGAAAGTACACTACATTATTTACTCTATGTTAGTTATTTAAACATCTTAATTATATACCTTAAACAGGATGAAAGTTAAGTTATTTTCTATTCAGGATGTTTTGAATAATATGCCAAAAAAGCACTAGAGGTTAGCGTCACGGCGTGACCGTCACTGCGTGACATGTGAAAATCACCATTTTATAGCATTTATGAATTATAAGTATATAAACAGAAAATTGCTCAAACATGAGCAATATGGTAAAATAAATACAATATTATCTGAATAAATATTCGGAAACAATTTCAACCCTTTACATAAGAAGCCAGGTATCAAGTCAATCAGATTAAGACGTCATTGATGTGAATGCAAATCGTCTGATAATGTAAAGTAATTAAATGGATTGTCTTAAAACACTTTACACAATTACTTAAATGCATGATGCTTCATGATCCAAAACCAATAATGTTTATTTATCACACAATTGAAAGAATAGCATAAAAAAATACCCTTATAGAGGCTAATTGTCACACCGTGACATGACAAACTTATAAGCATTTTTCTCTTGGCGAAGTTCTTCATTAAAATGAACATGATTATAAATTTCGTGTGAATGTCGTTCACAATTTAGCAGAGGATTTTAAAAATTCAGTCACTAATATTTAAATAAACTGAAAAAAGTCACTTTTTTTTTGTCACAGCGTGACATAGAAAAACTTAGGTTTTTGCTGGATCAATGGTCCATAAAGTAAAAATGGTTTGCAAAAAAATTATTTTTCCTGGTAAACAGTAATATGCGGATTACTAAAATCTGCATTTAACTTGAAAAAAAAAAAAATAATTTTTTAAAATGTTGTTGTTCCGCTGTGACGCATAAACAGTGTGACAAAACAGAAGTATTTTTTCCTCTGTTAATTAAAGTTCTTAAGTAAAATGAACATCATTTCTTAGTAGATATTAATGTTTTTCAGATTTTAGCCATACATTTTTAAATTTCATCTAGTGGTGTTTGAAATAACCTAAAAACAATCACTTTTCACATCACAGCATGATATCGAGAAACATGAGAGAGCAGCTTAGCTTAGTCGGGATCGGCTTATCTGGTGGTAGCCACTGTGTGTGCGCTGAACCGTAGAGATCTCTAGGTCCTCGGTTCAATTCCCATCGCTGCCTCTCCTTGTGTTTTTCAGCTAGAGGGCAATAAATGCAAGTTACAATAGCGCACCGTCTTTCGGATGAGACGTTCAAACCTTTGGTCCCGTGTGCATCTATGGCCCATGTGCACGTTAAAGAACGCAGTACACTCTTCGGAAAAGAGTAGGGTATTTTATAATGGTGTACTGTCCAATCACCACCAGAAGGACCCCACTGGAAATAAGTCTTCTTCTAGACATTCGTGGGCTATCCTTGGTGTTTACACAGAATAAATCCAATCCAAAATAGACATTATGAATTCAATGGGCCGTGAAATATATTTTTTTACAAAAATTTAACTTACTAAATTTTATTTCAATTGCCCTGGCTTAAATAACATATCAAATTTATTTTGTATTAAATTAAATATTGTATTTTTCAGGAATTTAAAATATGCAATGTCAACCCTTATTTTGCTACTTTAAATTATGGCAATTAGTCATTTATATAAAATTTATCCCAAACCCAAAAAATATACTCCTTAAGGTTTCATATGGTACTAAACTTTACTTATCAAGTAACATTTTTTTCTGAATTTGCTGAAAAAAGCCCATAATGTAAAAATGGGGTCTGTGGTAAATAATAAATAATTACAGGTTATTGTATTCAGAGGAGATTGTATTTAAATTAATTAATTGAACGATCATTACATGAAAGTTGAAGTTTGACGACAATTCAGATGAGCAGCGGCACTTCATGGTTAACACGAAAAGGGGCACTAGTCACTTTGAAGTACACTTCCAAGTCCTTGGATGCACTAATCCAGCACATAAACTAGAGTGAATGGCGGGTGCAAATGAAGAGAGGGCATGTTAACCTTGAAGCCAAAGTGGTGCTGCTGAACAGGTAGAATCGTCATCAAATTTCACATCACGCAAGTAAGGCTCGTTTAATTTTAAATTCTACCATATCAGCAGCGCAGCAACGGCTACCATAAGACTTTTAAGCAAAAATGAACATCTTGTGACACAAAATCAATGTGAATTTGTGGCGTGGAATCCAAAAACTGGTAATCGGTACCGACTTGCTTACCTCGCTGACATTTGCTTCCCGTGCACTATGGGCAGCAAACCTAATAGTGTCTATTCTGGCTAGACCGAGCAACAATTTAATCCATCTACCTACAGTACCAGCTCCAATAATAGTCATAAATGGTTTAACATATAAAATTAAAGTTTGTAACTAATTGACTTCTCAATAAATGCGTACACTCCAAATAATAATAATAATAATAGTGCAGCGTATACAATTCAATTCACTTTATTTGATATTCACCTTAAATAAAAGGGTATGGTCAAAAACCAGGCACAATGCAAACAATGAAAATAAAAAAAGGGAAAAAGAAAACCAATGTAAAAAGTTAATAACAAGAAAACAGGCGATGGGCACAGAACCAAATAATTTGATCTCCGTCTTTAGGTCGAAGCATCAAGAACAGTAAGCCTTTTAAATGCAGATGTAAAAAAAATCAATAACAGGTGTGATGACATCATATTCATCAGAAGCCATAATAAAAAGAATTTTTTCTACACTTGACATATGTTCGGAGTTTTCATAATAGGCCTATTTAAGTTCGGTGAATAGCTTGTTTCGTACATCATGGTAAATTGGGCACCAACTTATAAAATAAAATTCATCTTTAGACTTCATCATTTTTACAAAGGGTACAAAGTCTGTTTCCTGCTTCAGTGTTAGAAATTTGTGTTTTATAAAGGGGGGAAATATCCAGGGGAAATTGTTCTAGAGGGAAAACTGTTCAGGGGGGAAGCAATTGTCGGCAGGGGGAGGGGGAAAAATACCGGGGGTGTAAATTGTTCGGGGGAAAATATCCTGGGGTGGGGGAGCAATTGTAATTTCCACTGTTCGCAATAGTTATACAATTTGTTTATAGAATTATGTAAACCACTCTGATTTTCTGAAACAAAATGTCATCTGCATATATGAGACTGTTCAGTGGTTTTCCATTAACATTTACAGCGTTACATGAATCATCAAAAATGTAAGTTAAATCAGAAAGGAACATATTGAAGAAAAGGGGGCTGAGGAGACAATCTCATTTAACCACAACAGTAAAATCAAAAGGCTTTGTTACCATTCAGTTTAATTTAAGACGAAATAAAACCTTTGAATAAATAAACCAAGCAATTTACCACGAACCCCGATTCTATGATGTTTGAACATTAATCCATTTCTCCGCACAGTATTGAAAGATGCCGAAAAATGAATAAAACAAACAAGGATATGAGTTTTCACTAATGCGGTTGATATATTTATCGAGAGTTGTTTTAAGAACTAAAATGTAGTCGCTTGTTCTCGCTCCTTTTTCTTTTTTTTTTTTTTTTAATTTGATTTTTTTAGGAATATGATAAATATTGCTTTTTATCGGCTAGTGCAGTAAGTCTGTTGAGATGTATGATGCAAAAAAGCTTACCATGCTGTTACTATCCCATTTACCAGCAGACCCTTCAAAAAGGCATTTTGACGGGTTGGCGAACCAGGTTTTGCCAGAGTCTTTTTCTCTACTTAAAATTCATTATCACAGCAGGCATTGCTAATTATCAGTAAATTAACAGTATAGTATTTAAAAACCAGGCTGGAAATTCATAAATGTTTTGAATTTTTATTACCTTAGTTGTAATTTAAAATAAAAATCATAATGGATATGTTTTTGAATTTTAAAAATCAATAACTTATGTTAGAAGTTACAAAATAGTCTTTGATTTAATTGTGCTAGTATTTCTATAAAATATTCACATTTCATTAGCTTCCCTGTCAATCTTGTTACAAAATCCCTTGAAGCAGTAATTAATAGAGATAAGAAGAGATCAGCAAAACCTTGTTCAACAATTGCAATTTTAGAATGGGGAAGTTTCCTCGAGAAAAATTACTTCCAACTGCAATCCTCAATATTTTTGAGGTACCGATTTGTCTCTCCTTTTATGAATCACAGTAAGCGTGCTAGTTCTCCAAGCCGCTGCGAAGACGCCCTTTTTAAATTGTTAATGAATATACGCGTTGTGCATTTGATAATAAGTTGTCGTTTGAACTTGATTTTATCATTTCATTTTTTATACCGTCAATTCTGGCAGATTTACCATTATTTAACTTTCTTGCAGCACCCACAACTTTCCATTGAGCAAATTCCTGATTATGTTTGCCAATGTTAGGTTGATTATCTTCGGGAGAGTTAAACTTGTTAATAAAATGTTTAAATTGTTGATTTTTATGAGGTAAGTGTATTATGTTGGAAAAGTGCTCTAACCAAACTTTTGATGATTCTGGTTTTTTTTTTTTTTTTTTTTTTTTTTGCAGCAGAGATCCCCTTTCTGGATAGTCTAAGACACCTGACGATAATATTAAGTAGAATAATTGTTATTTAAGTAGCACTTATTGTTTTATTCGTTTTTGTTTTATTCCAGAAACTATAAAAACCAATATAGAAGCTAGCTTAAGTTCAGACACACGCATGTCATAGCAGGAAATAATAATACTCGTTTCAAACATTTAATATTGTCTCTAAATCTATAATCATTTTATTATGTCAGAGCACCACCAATATTTTAACAAGATTTAAACACTATACAAATAGGCATCGTGTTAAATTAAAACTCATAAGCCTTCTGCAGATTGTTTTTTTTTTCTTGTTTTTGTTTTAAAATTACGTATACAATTACTTATTCGTCTTTCTAAATGGACAAAATATTGATGTTATAACTAAGCACTATATTAAGAAAAAAATTATCAATGACAAAATCAAAAGTGTAAACAGAAAGCCCACTAATATATTGTTTGCAACACATTTCTCAAACAAATGGTCTTTCTTTAGCGACCTTTAATGTGCTTGGCTTAACCAAACCGTCTAAAAGAAAACAGCTGGTATTGCTGGTAGAGGAAAGTATAGAAGATTTTTTGTTGTACTGTGTATTTCTTTAGATCAAGCCCAATGTGATTTCGAAGATCCAAACCTTTGTTACTTTGTACAAGATGAATCAGATGACTTTGATTGGATAAGAACATCTGGATCAACACCCACATCAGGTACTGGTCCTGAGTATGACCACACTTACGGAACATTACAAGGTATGAAAAAGTTGACATGAATTTATATTTCCTAAATTACATTGTATATTTCTATTGAAAATATCTAAAACTACAAAGAAAATAAATAAAATAAACATCAAATAGATCTTTAAAAAAAATCTCTATTACACCGGAACATTTATTTTCTTATTTGCTTACAGGTTCCTACATGTACATCGAAACTTCATATCCGCGATACAACAACGAAACCGCTCGTCTTTGGACATCGCCATATCCTGCAACCAACGGTACATGCGTCAAGTGGTTCTACCACATGCACGGGGCCACAGTGAACACACTGAATGTATACATAGTCAATACAACAGGTACTGTTGGTGCACCTGCGTGGACAAATAGAAACAACCAAGAAAACCTTTGGCGACTTGGAAAAATCTCAGTTGAAACAATGAGTGCCTTCCAGATAGTGTTTGAAGGAATTGTAGGAAGGAGTGATACAGGTGATATTGCTTTAGATGACTTTAGGATCATTGATGGAGCATGTTTGAGAAACGGTAAAATACACCTTCATCATTTCACAATTCACTACACAATAAAAAGGTTATTATTCCACCCATTTGCATCTGACTTTTACCACTTATGGCATTCACCGATCGGCATTTTGCCACCCAGCTTTTTGACAATTGTTGTGAACTCAGGATTTTACCAAACCTCGCATTAACCATCCAAGGTCCGATGCCACCCAACATTTTGCCAATTACCTCGTTTCGTTTATAGATCCATCAGCACTTTAGTAGTATACTAATACCTCAGAATACCTTTCAACGAATGAACATATTCTTTCCATTGCACAAATACAAAACTTTTATTATTTGTTTTATAACACACCTAAATAGATCCTTGTCATTTGATCATCTTCCAAGCAGTGTCCCAGACTGTAAAAGTTATGCTTGTCGCCTGCTTGGGGACTGTCTCTTATACACATCTAGATGTGTATAAGAGACAGATATCAAACTTTTTTTTTTAATTTC